AATGAATCGAGACAGCGTGTGTGTGGTGAGGGAGTGACGAGTTTCAACGTGATGAAGGAGATAAAACCCGACGGCGGGGTCCTGCCGGTGGCTTCATGCGTCACTGAAACGTTGGGTCTCAAAACGGATAGATCTCCGGAGACGCAGACGTTCGCGCGGATGTCCAGAGGAGGACAGCGCCCCTGCAGCCACCCGCGGAGGCCAGGGCCAGGGTCAAGACCCTGCCGCAATGGCTCGGAGCTCCAAACAGTTATGCTGAGGGCGCCGCTCCCAGGCCGCCTTCCTATGACACGGGTTTCCAGTGAAGCTCAAGCGTATTCCACGGCCTCACATCACCAGAGGAGCCAGGCTGCCCCGGGACGGATGGGGTACGCGCGCTCCGAGAGGAATGGGAGAGTCATCAGAACCCCGTCGCGGCGGCCCAACGTGCGCTGCTAGGAGTGTGTAGTAATTAATCGCCACCCCTGCCAAAACCAAGGACCCCCTGTGTCGGGCGTCCTCCGCCTGCCGCGAGGGGGCGCGGATATGAGAGAGTCGCACCCCGGGACCCCAGCTCTTCCGACTCCACCCCAGGCGGGGTCCGCGCAGGCCGTCCCAGGCCCGTTCTCTGAACCACCAGGGTCAGGCCGTGAGATATGGGACCTCAGGCATGGTATTGTGGCTGCACAGGTGATAACGGCTTCCTAGTCCTTCTTAGAGCAGAACCTGTCCCATCCCAGCCCCTCTCCGCGCTCCCTTCGGAAGGAAGCCGGACTCCTACTGGAGCTGGAATTCCTCTCAAGCCAAGAGCTGGAGCTGAGGGAGGCAGGAGGGACGCACTTCCAAGCCATCCGGGCTCCTCTGTAGTCAGTGAGCCTCCTTTGACCCCTCCGCTGGCCTGGATGAAGGCCTAGGCGAGACCTTGGCAATGCGGCGCAACCCCAGCACTCCCCCGCCCTCGGGCTCGGGGGCTCGGTGGGTATCGCGCCCGCGCCCAGCCCTCGCCACTAGGCGCCGCTGCGCTCACGTCAATCGGGGCCCCGGGCCGCTGTGCCCGCCTGGCGAGAGGCCTCTAGGGAAGACGCCAGAAAGGGATTTGTCGTAATAATTTTAAAAAAATGATTTTAGGGCATTAATTATACTTTTCGTTTTCTCACCGCCACCCTACGCGTTCGGAGAGGCCGGCGTGACTGGGATCTCAGTGGGTTGGAAGAATTCTTAACGCCCCCCAGGCCTTTCCAACTTGGGACACCATTAGTGCGCCTTGGACTGGGAAAGGGTTCGCCCTTCACGGGCGTCGGTGAGATCCACGGCCCGCCGCGGGAGCACAGGACGGGCTCAGCGTGCTGGCTCAACGTGAGGACCCGAACCTTGGCGATCAGGGACCAAGACTTGGCAGAGTGCAGTGGGTAGGTTCCACGGCACAAGGCCATGACCTAGCAATAACTAAAATGTGATGAACGCTAACAGTGTGCTAAATATTAGCTCACTCACTCCTCTCAACAACCGTTAACACATTGCTATTTCCTTTTGGCAGATGAGTCAACGATGGCTCAAGAAGGTGAAAGTCACATAGGTGGCGACCCCAGACAGCTCCCACACACCTATTCTCAGTTGCAGGAGGCCATGCACCCACCCCAGGTACCTCAGGCCTAGCACGGAGCGCAGCGATGGAGAAGCACTGCCCTTTGCTCCTTTGAAGCCCCTAGTTCATTATGTGCCAGACACTGTCTAAGCACTTAGCTTTGTTTATGTCATTGAACAAACCCAAAGCAAAGGTACTATTATTTATTCCCATTTCAGAGAAGAGGAAACAGAGGCACAGAGAAGTTAGGTAACTTGCCCAAGGTCACACACTTAAGCTGTAAATGCAAGTCTCTCATCTTGGGGGATGGGGGCAGGTGTATTAAAGTATAATTACATATAGTAAAACTCACCCTTTGTAATGTACGGTTCTGTGAGTTTTGAAAAACATATAGAATCATATAAATACCACCACAATCAGGAAGTAGGATAGTTCTATCATCCTCCAAAACAAGTCCAGTGCTAATCCGACTGCATTGGCTGTATTTTTACATATGACAAAATGAGGTCGGGAGGTTTCCATGTTGCCCAAGGTCATTCAGTGACAGATTCGGAATTAGAACGTTTGAATGTGTCTGCTAGTCCAGCTACCTGCAAAGGTAGATTCCTTAGTCTACAGAGCCCAAGAGGCAGCAGTGGCTTGGGACACACATAGGACAGAGGGAGGAAGCCCCTTGCTCTAAGCTGGAGCCTCAGAAATCCCCACATGTCCCACTCCACGCAGGGCTACTTAACCAAACACCCACTCCATGGGCAGCTAAGGAACAAAGGTGGCCGTATTCTGCAAGGCCTAAATCCACAAGTAAAGTTGAGCAGCAGGGCAGCTGTGCCATCTAGGAGCTCAGGGTCCAGTCCAGACCACAGTGCCCAGTGCCTTGGCACGCCTCCACTGGCCAGTCTGGTTAATGAGTTACTATCCTAGTTAATTTCCCTGCACATCGGGGATAGACCCCGTGAACCTTCCTGGGCTCCTCAGGCCAAGTGCATGAATTAGCATAGATTACCCAGCTTCTGGGGTTCCGAACTGCCCGACTCACTAGAAACCCACTTCTCCTTCAAGGGGCTGGAGAGCAGCTTGGGTCTAGTAGCACTTAGAGCAGAGGAACTAGCATGCCCCGCTGCCTTCAGGAAGGGGGACAGCAGACCTCAGACCCCGCTTCCCCTTTACCCATGCCTACCTGTTGGCTAGCTAGAGCCCCTGGGGTAAACCTGGCCACAGAAGGACAGTTTATAAAAGGCGGGTGGCCTGCAGAGGATGCCAACCGACTAAAGTGGGACTGTGTAGCACTCTACCCTCTACTACAGCCAAATGTCCCTGCCTGGGGCAGAAGGCTGAGGGGTCCGTCTCCAGTCCAACACTGTCCTGGTTAAGGGAATAATGACTGCACCTTAGCACCCAGGGCTGCAAGTTTTAAAAGAGGGAAGGCACCCATCACCCTTACACATCGCAAACCATCTGGGTCTCAAACCATCTATCTCCCAGACAAACTGGATTCCCCATGCCCTCAAGGTCAATGACTTTTATGCCCCCACCCAAGATCACTAAGGGTGGAGCTTTCAGTGGCTCCAGTTTGCAACCCCTGAGTCTCAGGCTGAATTTGGAGGGTCTGGCCTGAGGGCACTGCCAGAGGCTGGCCCTCCAGTCCTCCTTCTGAAGCTTGCATGAAAGGTGCCCTCTCCTGCTTGCCAGGATTCGGGATGCATAGTCTGCCTAAGCTGGGTGTTTGTTTCCAGCCTCAAAAACCCAAGGGCGGACCTCTAGCTCCACCCTGGGCTTACTGACTGGGCACAGCCAAAAGACCTCCCCACTCTGCCATGCCTTCAGGCTCCCTGCTGGCCTAGGAGAGGAGAGGCCTCTAACCCCACAGCCTAATTGAGAGAGAGATTTCCAAACTGCAGACAATATTTTGGGGGACAGTGGTCCAGGCCCAAGGGAGGTGCATCTTTAAATGCACCCCCACCCCAAGGGCTGGATTCAAAGCCCAGAATCTTTGGGCCTGGAAAAAGAGGAGGAGGAGAAAGCAAAGTCACCTGGAACTGACAGAGGGACAATACTGGGCCAGGACCCCAGCCCAGAGCTTCGAAGCCTAAGGGAGAAGCAGGTGTCTCCCACTGTAAGGGCAAAGCTGAGGCGCACACCTGTCTCGTGTGAAGATGTGTATGTATGTTCCCTGGGAAGGTGTGGAGTGGGGGTAACAAAGATGATCTCTGCCAGTTCCCCACGAATCTCTCTGGTGCCCTGACGACCCCGGAAAATACTGCTCCCAACTCCTCTCTTGCCTGGTTTCCCAAAAGAGGTTTTTGGACACCTACCCCAACACAACATTTTATCTGGAATAAAGGAGTAATTGACACAAACATAAATATACAGTAGATGAAACCAAGGGAGGAAGCAGGTAACTTGTCCTGAAACCTGTCCCCTCAACTATGCTTCTGGTGGCAGTGCAGCCTGGCTCACGGTGGACTTCACTCTTCTCCCCCCATTCCCATCGGCTTCTCCCAGGTCTCACGGCAACCTAGTCACCAAACACAGGCATTTCTGCATTCTTAGGAGAAATGACAGGGGCCTGGGAGTAATAGTTTTAAAGGACGCTAGACTTTTTTTTTAATTATCATTAATTGTAAACGTGCAAAATACCTGCTGATACTTCACTTTAGAAGAATGTAATGGTAAAAAGAAAAAAAGGAAAAAAGAGGCGGCCGATGAATAGATAATAGATCTTTAACCACCAATAAACAGAGAGCAGCGCCAGCAGCCTGGGGATGTGATCATAATTATGCCGCCGCGCGAGCCAATGGGGACGAGGGAACTCGGTCCTAAAATCATCCCAAAACCGAAGGCGAGCTCGAAAATGCGGACACGGCCTGGGACCGGAGAAACGATCCATAATCCCTAGTTGCACTGGGTTTGCACAGCAACCCCCCCTCCCCGGGACAACAGATGGCATAATAATAATAGAAATAATAATAATAAAATAATAGCATCCATAATAATAATAACATTGACCACAGTAACAAAAATAATTACGTCGGAACCATAATAGTACGGTAGCACCACATCAGGCTCTCCCCTGACCTCGGACTACCGCTCCCAGATATTCCAGAAGGAATTGTTTTGGGGAAGGAGGTGAGCACCCTCCCAGAAAGAAAACGCTGGAGACCGTGGGGCGAGAGCGGGAGCGAGTTGGAAGCCCACTGCTTCAGCGGGGTCGGCAGCTCCCGGTCTCAACTCGCAAACGAACGAGCCGGGTCAAGACTCGCGAACGCACCGACCCTGGGACCTCGAGGCTAAGCGTGGTTGGTGGGATGGGAGGACCCTGCACCCCCCACTCCAGGATCCCTCCTGGCCTAGGAAATCGCTGGGAGTTTTGCTAAGGGTGGGGATTGGTATAACCGAACAGCGCCTTTAGCCCAGGAACCAGCCCCCGCCCGCTTACCCTCGCGGTGCTCCTGGGACGATCCCAGTTCCCCCAACGCAGGGCCGCGTAAGGCAGCAGCGGCGGAGCGCTAGGCGAAAGGAATCTGTTTGTCCGTCTGTCCTACCAGCTTGGGCTCAGCAGGCTCCGGATTCAGGGGGCCGCAGCGGAGGCGGCGCCGGCCAGGGACTCTGCAGGGACCGGGGTGCCCCGGAGGGAGTGGTGCTGGTGGAGGAGGAGGCGGTGGCTGAGGGGGAGTAGGTGGGGAAAGAGGAGGAGGAAGAAGAGGAGGAGGAGGAAGAAGAGGAGGAGGAGAAGAAGAAACCGGAGGAAGAGGAGGAGGCGAAGGAGGAGGAGAAGCCGCAGCGGGCGCCGCAGGAGCGAGTGAGCTGGGAGCGAGGGGCGAAGGCGCGGGGAAGTCCGGCGGCCCGGCGGACGGCGGCAGGCTCGGCCGAGGCGGCGGCGCCGACTCCGTTCCACTCGGCCGGGATCCAGGCCTCCGGGTTCCCAGGCGCTCACCTCCCTCTGACGCACTTTAAAGAGTCTCCCCCCTTCCACCTCAGGGCGAGTAATAGCGACCAATCATCAAGCCATTTACCAGGCTTCGGAGGAAGCTGTTTATGTGATCCCCGCACTAATTAGGCTCATGAACTAACAAATCGTTTGCACAACTTGTGAAGAAGCGAACACTTCCATGGATTGTCCTTGGACTTAGGGCGCCCTGCCCGCCTTTTGCAGAGGAGAAAAAACTTTTTTTTTTCCTCCCCCGAGAACTTTCCCCCCTTCTCCCCCCTGCCTCTAACTCCGATCCCCCCACGCCATCTAGCCCAAAAAAAAAAAAAAAAAAGAAAAGAAAAAAAAAAGAAAGAAAAAAAAAAGAAAAAAAAATTACCCCAATCCACGCCTGCAAATTCTTCTGGAAGGATTTTCCCCCTTCTCTTCAGGTTGGGCGCGTTTGGTGCAAGATTCTCGGGATCCTCGGCTTTGCCTCTCCCTCTCCCTCCCCCCTCCTTTCCTTTTTCCTTTCCTTTCCTTTCTTTCTTCCCTTCCTCCCCCCACCCCCACCCCAAACAAACGAGTCCCCAATTCTAGTCCGTCCTCGCCGCGGGCAGCGGGCGGCGGAGGCAGCGTGCGGCGGTCGCCGGGAGCTGGGAGCCCAGGGCGCCCGCTCCTCGGCGCAGCATGTTCCAGCCGGCGCCCAAGCGCTGCTTCACCATCGAGTCGCTGGTGGCCAAGGACAGTCCCCTGCCCGCCTCGCGCTCCGAGGACCCCATCCGTCCCGCGGCACTCAGCTACGCTAACTCCAGCCCCATAAATCCGTTCCTCAACGGCTTCCACTCGGCCGCCGCCGCCGCCGCCGGTAGGGGCGTCTACTCCAACCCGGACTTGGTGTTCGCCGAGGCGGTCTCGCACCCGCCCAACCCCGCCGTGCCAGTGCACCCGGTGCCGCCGCCGCACGCCCTGGCCGCCCACCCCCTACCCTCCTCGCACTCGCCACACCCCCTCTTCGCCTCGCAGCAGCGGGATCCGTCCACCTTCTACCCCTGGCTCATCCACCGCTACCGATATCTGGGTCATCGCTTCCAAGGTACGTGCCACGTCGCGGAACTGCAGAGCGCCGTTCCCGCCGCATCCTTTACTGCCCCCGGCCTGCTCCGGGTGAGCGCTGGGCAAGGCCTGGGCGGAGGTTTCTCCGGCTAGCGGGCCAGCGCGCCCTGTTGGGAAACTAGGCGGCGCGGGGCCGGTGGTGGTGTGGATCCCCAGTCTCCTAAGCTACGACCAGTTTGAAGTGATAGCCTGCGGGCTGCTTGACCCTTTGGGAAGGGGTGCGAACGGAGAAGTTGTCCCCCAGTGCGCTTGTATCCGAGCAGGCTGTGAGTGCCCGGCGCCGCGGAGCCCAGAGCCTGCGGGGTCCGCAGGCTCCTGGTACCCTCGGCAATGCCCCCAACCGTCCTGGCTCCGAGGGGCGCGGACAGGACTCGGCCGCCAGGCTTGCTTTCGACTGCGTTCGACCCTGTTCACCACCCACTTTGCGCCCCTTCAGTCCAGACCCACCACTTCTTGGTCTTCCACCCTCTTCTGGAGGCGAGAGGACCCTCGCGCCCCCGGCGAAAAATATGGGATTTGTTTTTTCTTTCCTGCTTTTCGGAGGCCTGGGGAGGGGCGGGAACCCGTGCGGGAGGAAAGCTCCAGGGCTCGGCGCTCTCGCCGCGACCTGCTTAATTGGGGCGCCGAGCAGCCACAGCGGGAAGGCAGGTTCGGTCTGGTTTTTGTTTTTCTTTCTTAAAAAAAAAAAAAAAAAAAAAAAAAAGAACCTGGTCAGAAACTGTCTTAGAGGGAAATATCTGTTCGCGTGTTCTCATTTATTGAGATTTTTGACTTGTTTTTCTCTGGGAACGGGGTGGGAGGAGGAGAGTTAAAACTTCAGAAAAAGGGATAGTTTACCGATCGGAGTCGGTGAAAGATCTACCTCCGGCGGCAGCCGATCAATACTCCAATGCTCCGCGGCTTGTCCATTCATTAACCCATTGCGTTCCTGCCGGAGCCTAGAGTCGGGTAGATGTCACCCCCCTCCCCATATTTAAAAAAATCAAACCAAAGGAAGAAAAAAAAGGAAAACCTTTTACCCTTAATCCCGAACTAGATTTGCCTGCATCCTGCCTGGGCTGTCGGTTTGATTTTCTTTGTTTGGGTTTTCGGTGAATCGATTTCCTATCCTAATGAGTGAACCCCAAACTCTGAGGCTTTGCTCGAAAAGTTTAGGGTTGCCCTTCCTCATTCTCTATCAGTCATGCTCATGGTCCCCCCACCAGACCCGGAGCCGCTGGGATCTTCCTGCGTTTCAGACTGTCCCGGCGGTGTCTGCATCTCGGTAACCACCCCCCCTCCGGGTTTCGATCTCTTCTCTCGCGTTTCTCTTCTAGTTCTCCGGAGCCGGGAGCCCCGGAGCCCAGTTCTCGAGAGGCAGCAGCGGCTGTAGCCGGGCACACCCGCAGGCGAGATTTCTGTCCCGATCGGGCTGCAACGACTCGCTCCGCCTCTGTACTTTTCCGGAGGGGCAACAAAACAAATAATTTAAAAATAAATCTCCAAGAAAACTCTGGAGAGCAGCCCGCCGCCTTTCCACCCTGGGTCAAAGTTCCCCGAGAGGTTAGAAAGAAGAGAAAGTCGTTTCTTCGGGCTGTGGGCGCCAATCCCCCGGCCGGGCTCTGCGGCTCCCTCCCCTGCCCACAGCGCCCGGCGAGGAGGTGGCGAGGCCCGCGGCGCCAGGGCGGCTGCGGAGCCGGCCGAGGTCAGGAGCCTGGGGGACTGGTCCCGCCGGGGCAGCGGCTGGTTGGGTGCCGCACAGGTGGACACCCAGCGTTGCAGGCCGGGCAGCTGAGCCGGCGTTCCCTTCGTGAGCCCTTGGGAAGACCACCGACCCCCGCAGGTCGAGCGGCGCCAGCTATGCGAAGGCCCTGAGCGCGGTGACTGGCCAGCCCGGCTCGGGAGAAGTGCGCGGCTCTGGTCAGAGCAGCCCCCCTAATGGGATTTCTGCTGTGCTCCCCGCAGGGAACGACACTAGCCCCGAGAGTTTCCTTTTGCACAACGCGCTGGCCCGAAAGCCCAAGCGGATCCGAACCGCCTTCTCCCCGTCCCAGCTTCTAAGGCTGGAACACGCCTTTGAGAAGAATCACTACGTGGTGGGCGCCGAAAGGAAGCAGTTGGCACACAGCCTCAGCCTCACGGAAACTCAGGTGAGTGCGGCCCGGGCGCGAGGGACCCATCTGGGCGTGCGCCCCCACCCCAAATCTGGCTCTCAAGCACACCCATGAGCACGGAGCTCTGTGAGGGCCTTCCGCACAGGTCCTGGTAGCTGGTTCCACGCCTGGGCTCGGGATGTATGTCTCAAGGTGCTTGGCTTTGTTGGGTTCCAGAAAGGGGCTGTAAGTGCCAACCTGCCCCAGGTTCTGGGGAAACGCGCCGAGTCGTTTCTCTGTCCAGTTGGGCATGTCCTGGCTAAGACATCCCTGCATTTCTGGTGAGACTTTTGGTGAGAGTGTGAGGACCCTGCTGGGGTCCAGGAAGAGGGAGAGCACGGTGGGGTTTCTGGGTGTTTGGGGCTGGAGACTGGTAAGGACAGGATGTGGGTTAAAGATGAGTTCTGAGCGACTACCAGCCCATGGCTCACACCGTCGGCTCCAGTGACTTCGCTGAAGGAGATGGGCGATCAGAAGGTGGAGGGCAAGCGTCCTGTGTGTACTCTACATCAGAGAAATAAAGCTGGGAGGCTGCAGAGAGAGGGTCTGCCTCAGGGCACAGGCCTTCTACACAGCAGGGTCCCTGGGCGGGCCTGGCTTGGGCTTATCCCAGGGTGGGGAGGGGGTTTAGGACTACAGTAGGCGCTACTGTACACGGAGCCGCAGGGTGGGGTCAAAGTTCCCAGCAAACAGTAACGTTTTTGGGCAGATTAAGTTGTAACACTTTTCCTGGATAGCGCAGAAAGGTCGAGCCTTTTGTTTTAAAACATGTTCCCCACCCCAAAACCGAGGAGGGCCTGGCGGGTTTGTGCGGAGCCCGGCACAAGGCGCGGCCCGGCTGATTTCTCCTGGACAGCCGAGGCGGCGGTGGTCTTTGTCCGCCTCGCTGCCCACGCTGCCTGGAGTCTTTGTGTGCGTGTCAAGCCCCGAGCGCACCGACGCGCGCCTTGGGCCAGCGCCGGGGAGAAATGAACCGTCCTCCCCCTCAATTAGCAAACTCAAAGCAAATTAAATTCAGCCTTGTTCCCGCTCAGCTTTTTCACGGAGCACTTTGGGGGACTGAGGCTTTCCGGGAGAGCAAGACGGACCGACCAGCGGCCTCAAAGGAGGGAATGGAGTGGACCCCAGGGGTCCAGGGACTGGCACTGAGCTAGGGTACTGTTATCCAGATAGGATAGGAGTTGTGGGGAGATTGTATCAGAGGTGCAGTCTCTGCCATCTCCCTTACCTGTACCCCCCTGCTGGGAAGATTGGACCTTGTTACTGTCTGGTGGCTGAATGAGGTCCCACCACTCAGCTTTCCCAGGGGCCCATGGGATGGCAGCTGACTCCCACCTCATTGCTCCTAAGACCTCTCAGAGCCACTCTGGTTAGGCCCAGCCTCCAGCCCCACCCTGGTGGGAAGTGATGGGACTGGGGTCGGAGGCTGTGTGACCAACAGCCTGTTCCGAGGCTGCTTAGGAGGAGGGAAGAGGGAGCTTGCTGTCATCTCCCCTCCTCTTAGTTTCTCTCTTACTTTCCGTGTAACTGACGGTCTTTCAGAAGCTTTCAGTTTTGAACCCATTTTCCTAGCTATAAAGGTACAGCTGGGTTGGTCTGGAGGCCTGCACACTCCATGCCCCTCCTGGCCTCCTCCAGCCCTATCCCCTTCCTGCTCACCTGTGAGAATCCCCTGCAGGGAGGATGCAGAGCAGGCAAACCCTGATCGCCTACCCAGGGCCCCCGCCACGAAGAGAAGACGCTATATTTAGGAAACACTGCCCAGATCAGCAGAAAATAGAAAGCACATTGGGCCCTGAGGGAAGCTGCAGCAGCGGCGGACTGAGGTCTCCCTTGCACTGGCTTGCTGGAGGGAGTTAGGGACATGTCTCTTTTTATTTTTAATCACTTACTATTTTTGTAGGGGCTTCCCATGCTTTGCAAGGCTTTGCTCTCTGCGGGATATAGATGCCATGTGCAGGGCCAGGAGAGAGGGGACTCAGTGCACTGCGGGCCGCAGGGCCCTGGGGAAAGGCTCTTCAGGAAGGCTCAGAAGGGCAGGGAGCTGGGCTTCTTTTCCACCAGGCACTAAGGGCCCTGCTCCCTGAGGGCAGGCCTTGGGGAGGCTGGACCTTAGGACTTGCATCTAGGGGACTGGGTCTTTGCTGAGTCTGGAACTGGAGTCTGGGCTGGGTGAAAGGATCAGGCACTTGATAGAAGGGTGCTCTGAAAGAACTAACGCACCCCATCGGCCTCTCACCCGCAGGTAAAAGTATGGTTTCAGAACCGAAGAACAAAGTTCAAAAGGCAGAAGCTGGAGGAAGAAGGCTCAGATTCGCAACAAAAGAAAAAAGGGACGCACCATATTAACCGGTGGAGAATCGCCACCAAGCAGGCGAGTCCGGAGGAAATAGACGTGACCTCAGATGATTAAAAACACAAACCTAACCCCACAGAAACGGACAACATGGAGCAAAAGAGAGACAGGGAGAGGTGGAGAAGGAAAAAAACCCTACAAAACAAAAACAGACCGCATACACGTTCACTGAGAAAGGGAGAGGGAATCGGAGGGAGCAGCAGCATGCCGCGAAGACTTTGGACAGCGAGGGCACAGGGTCCCAACCCGAGGCCGTGCCAAGATGGCAGAGGATGGAGGCTCCTTCATCAACAAGCGACCCTCGTCTAAAGAGGCAGCTGAGTGAGTGAGAGAGACAGAGAGAAGGAGAAAGAGGGAGGGAGGGAGAGAAAGAGAGGGTGAGAGAGAGAGCAAGAGCTGAACGTGCACTCTGACAAGGGGAGCTGTCAGTCAAACACCAAACCGGGAGGACAAGATGATTGGCAGGTATTCCGTTTATCACAGTCCACTTAAAAAATGATAATGATGATGATAAAAAGCACGACCCAACCAGGCACAGGACTTTTTTTTTTTTTTTTGCACTTCGCTGTGTTCCCCCCGATCTTTAAAAATAATTAGTAATAACAAATGAAAATTCCGTGTCTAGCCCCATCCCACATCTGTTTCAAAACCTTGAAATGCATGTAGCAGTTGTTGGGCGAATGGTGTTTAAAGACCGAAATGAATTGTAATTTTCTTTTCGTTTTAAAGACAGGTTCTGTGTGCTTTTTATTTTGATTTTTTTTCCCAAGAAATGTGCAGTCTGTAAACAATTTTTGATACCTTCTGATGTCAAAGTGATTGTGCAAGCTAAATGAAGTAGGCTCAGCGATAGTGTCCTCTTACAGAGAAACGGGGAGCAGGATGACGGGGGGCTGGGGGTGGTGGGGGAGGGTGCCCACAAAAAGAGTCAGGACTTGTACTGCAAAAAAAAAAACCCTAAATTAATTATATTTCTTGGACATTCCCTTTCCTAACATCCTGAGGCTTAAAACCCTGATGCAAACTTCTCCTTTTAGTGGTTGGAGAAATTGGCCGAGTTCAGCCATTCACTGCAATGGCTATTCCAAACTTTAAATCTATCTATTGCAAAAACTGAAGGACTGTAGTTAGCGGGGATGATGTTAAGTGTGGCCAAGCACACGGCGGCAAGTTTTCAAGCACTGAGTTTCTATTCCAAGATCATAGACTTACTAAAGAGAGTGACAAATGCTTCCTTAATGTCTTCTATACCAGAATGTAAATATTTTTGTGTTTTGTGTTAATTTGTTAGAATTCTAACACACTATATACTTCCAAGAAGTATGTCAATGTCAATATTTTGTCAATAAAGATTTATCAATATGCCCTCAGAGTAGTCGTCTTGGGAAATTGAAGTGGATCTTTAAAAATGTATCTCAGTAATTTGAGTGTGGTCCTTCCCCAAGTAGGCTCAAGAAACCCAGGCTCCTCACCCACAAAAGGGCCAGTTTGGTGGATTCTCAGGCATTTTAAAGAAAGATGAGGGTGGAGAAGGGAGAAGATTAGGAAAACTTAAGTCCTTCAGAAAAGGGATGGGAGAAAAGTTTTCCAACCAGACCTTTGCCCATTGTATGCCCTACTGAGGGAGTTTAGTTTGAACTTTGGGTTAAAATGCTTACTTCCCTTAACTTCTAGTTATTAAAAAAGTACTGGACATGTAGTTGCACATTGAAGACTACTCTCCCAGAATATTGGGGAAAACATGTAGCAGAATCAGAATCTTGCAACTTCTAAACTTTCTGACTTTAAACCCCGAAGTACAAGTCTTACTTTTCCTTCCTTTCTTTCCTTCTCTCCCTGGCTCCAATCTGCCTAAGGTGATGGGCCGAGCCCAAGGGCCTCAGCAGCCTTATAAGGCAAGCGTTCCGAGAAACCTTCAACTCTTCATTTTAACATTAAAGAAAAAGTTGTAATCAGACTTGGAGGAAACTTAGCTTTTTTCCCTCCCTCCTTCCCCCTTCTGGGGGTACGAGGTTGTTTTTGCATGCTTCATTTGCTTCTTATCCTGATAGGCTGCATTAATCAGTTTTATTTCCATTGATAGAGAAACCTCGTCTGTTCTGTTCGAGCTACAAAGCGTCCTGCGAGCTTTTGTGAAAGTGCAAATCAGTTTAAGCAATTATCATACCAGGAATATGAAGGGGAAAGAGGAGGCCTTGCCCAGTGGTCTCCTTTAATCTCTTAATCCATGGATCCAGGGGGGCTGCCTGGACATAATTTAGGACAATCTCCCCACCCTTTACACTGTGATAAGGCCAAGTTACAATGCAGGGCAAAAATACAAGCTTTGTTAACATCCTGCCTTGAAAAGTTAAGATTAGACATTCCGTGCACGTGTGGGGACTATAGGGCACTATGGAAATTTTTTCTTTCTTTTTTTCCTCCTCTTCTCTAAAGTAGAATTCGTTCTCCGTCTCTTTCTCCTTTCCCCCATCTCTGACTGTCTAGCCCTCCCCTCTTTTCCCCCATCCCTGTCCCTCTGTAGAAACCTGTTTGCTCATAGTGCATTTTCACACAGACCCCTCTTGGAAGGTGTGTGTGCTGTGAGGGCTACTCCACCGCCGGGAGTTGCTGGGGGGAGGAGGGAGACGGGGTGGCCTCAGGAGACCCGGGTTTGCGTCTCACAGGGACAGGTGCGCCTCGGGGTATCCAGGAAACCCTCGTGGGGCTTCCAGGCGCTTTGACAGCACGACCCTCGGTGACCACTAGCTGTCTCAAGCGCTTTGCAGTCAGCGCTCCCGCAAAGCATCCCTTTCTCTTCAACAAGTACAAATTACCTTTTCCTTCCACTCACCTTCCGAAACCCGGAATACCTCAAACACTGAGCGCATTCTTAAACATTCTTAAAATTCAGAATGGTCTGTCCAGAAAAAAATTTTCCTTCTTAATAAAAGGTTTATTTCTGCCAAAATTATATACTTTATATTTTTTAAGTACAAGAAAAGGGGGCTGGTGAGGAAGATTTTTCTTTTTTTGGGTAAACGTCCTGTGTAGTGTAACAGCAATAAAATCATCAGAGAATACTATTAGCTTTGAAAAAAAAAAAAACTAAAAGCTTTATTACAAACCAAGCTTTGAAAATAGGGGGGATTAGGCGGCTGAAAGGGTCCCACAATGGTAAGAAGAAAAGGTTTCATGCTAATGAGGTTAATGCCCTTTGTATCTCAGGCCTCCACATCTTCATTACGCGCTATCTCCGGCTGCACGGAGCGGCTCAGAGAGCCGCAATCCACTCCAACGCCCCCCTTCCCGGCCCAAAGAAGGATTTGATAGCAGCTCTGTTCAAACTAGATAATTATATCTTTTCAAGTCGGAATTAAGATAAAGAAAGTGAAGCAGAGGCGGCTCGCCTTGATCCACTGCAAACAAATTTGGCGCACTTTCGAGTCCTTCCTCCGCCTCAAAAAGGCAGGACAGTCAGCTTATTAGCCGCTCGTTTGCTTTATTAATTCATCTATTTAAAGTGGCAGGATTAGAGCGTCTAATGTGGACGCAGGCTGCCGTGGCGCTGAGGAATATAAATATTTGCGAGATGCCATCCCACGATGACTATCTGGGCGTGGGGCGCGGGGCAGGGTGCGCGTGTGCCCTGCCTCTGAGTTCCCTTCGCAGTGTGCGCCTGCTGGGCTGAGCAGGGGGGTGTGGGAGCCATGTGCCCCAGGTCTATGTGCCCCTTCGTGCTCCGTGGGTGCCAGGCCTGGATGCTCCCGGGCAGGGCTCAATGGGCAGCGTGGGTCAGATTCTGCGCTCCTCCTGGGACACGGTGAACTGTATACATGTTGCCATAGGGTCCTGTCTGTGACCCCGAATGGGGGTATAGGATACAAGTTTGATCCATGTTCCCTTTCCTTGTTAATTACTTGTGGACCTTCCCTGTAGGACCCCTTGGCCAAGTGCATGTTCGGGAGAGGCACGTATTCTCCGTTTGCGCTGCCCTGAGAGGGTCAAACCGAATCTATTACGCGCGTGTGCCGCGGCTACGTTCTCCTGCGAGGTACACATGGGTTCCGTGTGCGTTTCTCGCGGAGGCGCGAGAAAGTCCTAGGGTGGGAGAAGCCTTCGACCTCCGAACTTCCTGGCTTTCTTTCTGTGTGTCCAGTGCTCCAAGCTCCTTCTGGCTCTGGTCCTGGCAGGCAAGCCGAGCAGGAGCTGGCGCATTGGCTGCGGCCCGTAACCTGCCGGGCCACTTTTGTGCGAGGGGCGGATTGTGGCTGCCTGAGAGCCGCGCCAGGCGGGTCAGGCAGAAAAGGGACTCGGGCCTGCGCGCGGATTTGGAAACCTCGGCTCCTCCCCGTCCCCGCCTCGAGTCGCAGGAAACAAAGTCTGGGACTCGCGGGCCGGTTGGGGAGGGACTCTGGCTGCTCAGAGGCCTGGCCCGGGGCCCCGCTTCGTGGTGGGGGTTTTAAGGGCTGGTCCAAGTCGGTGTAAGGCTGGCAGGATGAGGGTCTGTTCTTGTATGTTTGTGTAGGGTGAGAGCACTAGTTTGTGGTATAATGGCATTTGTGTGGATTGTGGAATAGAATTGTGTGTCTCAGCTAGGACTTTAGTCAATTTGTGTCAGTGCTAATTGTTTGAGTAAGTTAAAGGCTGGAGCGGCCGGGGCTACTTATGTAGATTTGGTCAAGATGTCTAGTTGACCTTGTGCGTCTAGATTGTTTTGAGTTAGGGCCAGCACGTGCAGTTGTGAGGCTGCAGAGTGCCTATGACGGTATGGAAATGCAGTTTATTGAATTTGTGTGCCACGATCTAGTTGCACTGTGTATCTGTGAATTCGTCTGGAGTTGTGCATCTCAGAGAATGGGGTGACTTCGGTGTGTGTGTGGCTTGCGGGGACGTTTCTCGGTGTTTGGATGGGGGTCCCTGTGATGGATGTCCATGCCTGGCCCTAGGGCAGCATCTGCGTGTCTTGGGATCGAGGCGTGTGTGTCTAGTGAGGAGGCTTGGGCTGGGATATCATCCGGCAGCGCCCCACTAACTCCGGAGTCTGGCAAACAACAGCCGTTTTGTGTAACTGCGCATTTTTCTAGACCAATCTTTATTATTCCAGCAATCAGCGCTGGAATTACTGGGGCGCCGCCTCGAAGCAGCCGCGGGCGGGGCGGCAGAGGATGCCGGCCTCCAGCGTCTGGAGACCGCGCCCGAAAGCCGGGCTGCGTTGCGGGGCCGCTCGAGCCTCGCCCGCAGCTTCCAGCCCGCACCCTCCGCTTGGCCGCCGGATTTTCTTGCCCCAGCCAGCCCCGTAGCCAGGGGAAAGTGGGAGTTTTGAGAACCCTCTGACCCCAGCCGTGACCCCTCTCCGGGAGTTGGCTTCTCCCACATGACCCGGTGCGCCAGAAAACTCTAGGCGGCGCCACGCTTGGAAGCGCAAGGTCCATTCATCAGCCGCGCCCCAGCGTCTAATTGGCCTTTTGTTTATTAGTGTTTGTTGCCCGGCGGGGGGTCTCGGGAGGGCACCGGAGCTGCAAGTCGGGGTGCCAGAAGCGGGCGGCGGACCGGCGCCCAGGGCTGGGGTCCGGGTAGGGCAGAGGCGCATCGCACTCCTCTGAGGGGGCGCCAGAGCGCGCCAAAGATCACGCCCACGTGCGGAGATGCACGCATGGAGGCTGGACTCCGAGTGCCAGAGCCTGGTCCTCCCCGCTGCTAAGGCCCCAGGCTTCGCCCCTGCCCCCACCTCCACCTGCAGGCCGAGCCCTCCCCATCTCTCCACACCCTCAGGATTTCAGACCCGCCTTCCTGCCTCTCCTAAGTTCCCATCCCAGGCGCTGGCCTTGTGGCTGGGTTCCGCTCACGTCCCGCCGTTCTTCGTTCTTCGTGCTTCGAGTTCATTTGTCGTGGCTCCGCCGATTACCCCGGGGAGTAAGCTCCCGGTTTACTCTGGGTTTCCCTCCCTAAATACCAGCCCGGCAGTATGGAGCCAGCATCCGGCTTCGCTGGGTGGTGTGATTGAGAGAATGTTTTTGGCAAGGCAGGGAGAGAGGGATGAGACAAGTACTCAAAATTCCACCTTCCTCACCAAGTCAAACCTCACCTTCCGATCCCTATCTCCCACCCAGTGTTCAATCTCCATATCCAGCCTCGCCATCCTCCTACCTACCCCACATTTACTGCCCCTCCTGTCACTCCTGAGAGACAGTACAAAAGTAAGGTCTCCATTCCCAGCACAAGCACAAGGCCAAAATGCACCTGGGGGTCCCGGAGGTGCTTGGGATGGGCATGGAGTCTCATTTGGAAAATGACTTGAGGAGGATTGGCCTCGCCTGGCGGTGGCCTGGCTGCCGGCAACGTCTGGAGGGCTGGGCCTCAGCCTGGCCCCAGACGTCCCCTGCTCCCAGC